GTGGGGGTGATGGGGGGGGGGAGGGTAGGGGGGGGGGGGGGGGGGGGGGGTGGGGGTGTTGGGGGGGATGGAAGGGGTGGGGTGGGGGGGGGTGGGGGGGGGGGGGGGGGGGGGGGTGGTGGAAAAGACTTAGTTTGGATTCCTCGGCTATGCTGTGCGGTTGAGTTGAGGAACTGATTATTCACTACTCAATATAATGCGACACCCCACCGCCCATTCTCCCAAATTTCCTTCCAAATCCAGTTACCTACTAATCTCAAAGTTACTTTTATGTTTAAGCATTATTCTTCCTAAATCCTTCTCTGTAAGACCATTTCAATACCACCACAAAAAACCAAGAAAGAAGAAAATGCTGAAACAACACCATTTGTAAGAACCGTTCTTTTTCTTTTCGTTTAATGATCCGATAAATCTTTATATTTTTGTCTAAAATATCAAATATGTTTTTTTTTCGACTTCTCAATCAAGTTTTTAATTTTATAAAATTAAAATAATTAAGGACCTGTCGTTAAATAATGATCGTTTAAATTTAGATTAAACAGTGTATTTATTAACCACGTGACATTAAAAATAAAAATAAATTTTGTATTAAAAATTTGGATTGCTCATAAGTCAAGTCAAATTAGATTTAAAGAAAAGTCATTAAAAAAAATTAAGTGCAATCCTACAATTGATAAATGCAAATGAGATTGGAAAAAAAAATTGGAACTGTGTTATCAGGGTTCTTGGGAGAGAAAAAAAGCCTTTTTTTTTTCTTCGAATGTTAACCCAATTTTCAGAAGGTGTAGCCCGCAGAACAACATCAAGGGCCTAAATAGTTTCCTGTTGGCAGTCCAATGACGGCGACTGAGAAACTGCGTAAGGTGATGAAGGGCAGTCTTCGAAGCAAATCGGATTGTGACTCCACGTTCACGCTTTTTCCTATGCTAATAGAAACAAAAATTACCGTCAACTAATGAAATATTAAAAATATATTTACATTAAATACATGTAACGATAACAATTATTACACATAATAATAATAATAATAATAATAATAATATAATAATAATAATATACAAAAAAAACACCTGAAGAAGTAGGGGTGGCAGAAGACCCTGGTTCATCGTTATCTCCCAGTTTGACCTTCAATTCCTTAATTTCAAAAGGCAGCGGTCGGCGGTGTAAAAGACTTTTTCGTCCATCTAGCGGGCACACGATTTCCCAGAATCGATACGCGTGTTGGTGCTGAACGCAACAAGTCGATAAATCTCTAGAAACCTTCTTTGAAGTAATTCTCGGGAGTGAAAGTTATTGCCACCTAATCACAACAGTGAACTCACTCAGGACACACACATCTCATTTAAACTGAAACCGCAAACAACAGAAAACACTAACAGCAACCAATGTTTTCTCTCACACAACCTAATAACACGAAGTCCATATTTTTTTTTCATCTCATTTTGCATTTATCAACAGGCGCTGCACTTAAATTTTTTTATTTTTTTTTTCCACTTTTCTTTTCCTAAATTTGATTTTAACGTGTGCAATCCAAATTTTTTTAATATAAAAACTCGTTTTCTAATATCATTTATGATTATGAATACACGGTTACTCTAACTCAAATTTAAACGGTCTTTTGTGCAATTTAACGACAGACCTCTAATTGTTTTAATTTTATAAAAATAAGAACTCAATCAGACGCGGAAAAAAAGACCTATTTGAGATTATGGACGAAAATAGGAACCTACTGAAACATTAAACATTTTCTTTTCTTTTTATCCCTTCTCTCTTTCCTCCATTCTTTTCTCTTTCTCTCTCGTTCATCAATCCTCTCTATCTCTTTTATTTTTTCTTTCATACGTGTCTTTCTCGAATCTAATAATACCTATAGTAGTTGATTTATTTGAGATTTTTACTCATTAAATTTTTCTTAGAAAGTTCTTCTCCTCATTCTAAAGATTTCTTATTTATTGTTTTTTTTTTTTATGTTGTTTCTCAATTTTAGTGGAATCAATTAAAAAATTGATAATCTCACCTTAGTTTAACAAGTATGGGTCATGGTCAATTTGGGCAATCTGGGCAAGCTGTTGGACAATTCAATAGACCATTGCAGCAACAACAACAACGGCAACAACAACCCTCTTTATCTGAGAGAACTACAAAGCTTGAGGAGACTCTCTAATAATTTATGCAGGTGACTATCTCCAACCATAAAAACACTGAAGTTGCCATTAGAAATTTGGAGATATAGTGATGGCAATCCCTTTAGGGACTTCCCATCCAAAGAAGTATCAACTTACCACTAAGCACTATAAGAAAGGGAGTTTGAAATAAGGACTGTGATATTTTCTTCATAAGTTCTTAGAATGTTCTCTTATACTAAATACATTACCTTGTTTTGTAGGTCACTAATAAGAGTGGAAAACCATAGCCAATCAACCAAAGAAGCTTGATGAGCTAAGGGAAGCAAAGGAGAAAGGAAGAAAGGAAGTGCTTTTTGGATTAGAAAGCAAAGCTGATATACAACATACGGCCAACCAAGCGAACCAGCGTTTCCACTTCCTTTTAAAGCATGTTTTCAATTGTTTACCGTATGGAACATGTGGCTAGCGTGTATAGCTTCTCCTGCCACTTCTTATGAGCTTCATGTACATTGCTATCATGGTCCAGTAGCTTGCTAGGCACGTTTCTCCTTATACTATAAAAGAGAAGCCAAATCCTTTGTAATGGTTAACTGAAATTGAAGTAAAGAAATGTTGTCCAATTCCAGCTATTACTCATCTCAAGTTCACCCTTCTCTGCTTGTTTATCTAGCACCTCCTCTAGCTCCTTTCCCCTTTGGAAAGCCTACTGAGTTAGAAGCTCCAAACACTCATCAACACCACCAGACAATTTCACACACACCCTTTGAGTGCATTCGGGACATCCTTTTGTCATCTCCATCCCTGTCCATTCTCTGCGTCTTGAAGCATCCTTCTCCTCGTCATGGAGCTGTTATAACAGTTGAAAACTGTATTTTCATGCTTACAATTGATACTAAAAGCACCTTATACTTAAAACTAGCTTCAAATCAATGTTTTTCTTGGCATATTTTCATAAATAAGAGAGCTGGACAGTTAATGATTGATTTCACAGTGTTTTGTGCAGGTTTAAAAAGGTAATTTGGTCAAAGAAGTTGAAAAGGAGAATATGGAATCAGAAAGACTCAAAAAGTGCAAAAGGAGAAGCCGAAGGTCACCGCTCAGAGGCAGTTTTTACATCTTAATTAAGACTTATGCTTTCTTTCATCATTAGTTAGGGTTTTTTCCTCTTTGCGATTAAGTTAGTTAACCACTTCGTAATCTTTTATAAATCAGATCTGAAGAAAGTGGGTTCTTCTGGTGGCTGTCCCTTAGCGATGGCCAAAACGTTGATATTCGTCTACATAGTTGTCGCGGCAGTGCTGCTCTTGTTCCTCTCTCATTCACCGAAGAAGTTCTCCGGCCACCGCCGCCGCCGCCTCAAGCTCCGCTCCAACTTCACCCTAGCACCGTCGCGCCACCACGCCGTGGCCTTCGACCCCTTGGTGGCGGAGCTGGAGCGGCACCGGGAGGACAAGGAGTGGGAGAAGCAGGTAATCCACCAGATTGATACTCTTGTTCCCCAAGATCGACGTGGACCCCGCCGATTGGTTCGTCACCGAGCACGAGTTGACTCAGTGGAACCTCCACCAGGCACAGCGCGAGGTCCTGCATCGCACCCAGAGGGAAATGGAGCTTCACGATAAGAATCACGATGGCTTTGTTTCGTTCTCCGAGTACGATCCTCCCAGTTGGGCTCAAAATGCAGGCCTGTCCCCTTTTCCAGCCTTTAGATCCGAGTAACACTACTATAATCGACTAATGTAGTTGCGTGCTATGGATTTGAACTTGAGATCGCCGTGCGTTTAGATACCGATGATTAATCATGGTGACTGTCTATTGAATGTTGTGTTTTTTTATTTTTTATTTTTACCAGATAACGAGTCTTTCGGGTATGATATCGGTTGGTGGAAAGAAGAGCATTTTAATGCATCTGATGCTGACGGAGATGGTACAAGACCGAGCGTGCGGCGGAGGAGTACAAGACCGAGCGTGCGGCGGTCGTCACGGTCACGAAGAAGAACCCAACTTCTTCAAATCTGATTTATAAAAGATCATTAAGTGGTTAACTAACTTAATCTCAGTCCAAACACTTAAACATCCAACGTGGCACACAGAGAATAGAGCATATCAGTGATCACGTGGCAACGCCGTTTGCCACCTCCACTGAAACTTAACACCGTCCAATTTTAAGGACTATTACTCAGAGTTTCAAAACAATAAGGACTAAAAACCATCAAAGTTCTGAGCAGGGACTAAAACCAAAATCGCTTGATAGTTCAGGGACTAAAAACATATTTAACCCATTTTAGGCCGTAAGTTTATATTTATTTAGTCACGTTTCCTTTGTTGTTTGTTTTTTTCAAGGTACTTTGGTTGTCGCATTCCCTGTGTTTTCAATTCTGTTGCTAGCTATAATGTGTTTGGTAACAAGTTTTCAGCCTTTTAAACGTGCATTCAACTAAAAAGTTAGAAAGGATTATGCGTATCACTCTCACCGACAAACATAGAGGAAGTCGTTATAATGCTTATTTTTCTTACGCTTTGTAAAAGAGTTTCACTGTACGCGGCTCCTATACTACCACTTGAAAGAAACGTTTTATTATAAGTAATGGAAACGACGAATATAAATCATTGGGTTTTATTTAAATAATCAAGATTAGAAAATAACTATGAGTAACTTTTCAAGTGGTTTATTTCACTATTAAATAATTTTTAATCTTACAATTTGTCTCTATGAACATGTTAGAATAGATTTTTTTTAATTTAAAATTATCTTTTTAGTCACGTTTATTTATCTTAGCTCATTCAACCTCTTAGTTTGATAGCTCTTTATAAATGTGATTCTTAAAAGCAACACAGAGAGATTCTAAAAAATTTTCATTCTAAATTTTACAGGGATTGATGGCGTGGGACTTGGACTTATTTCACATCATCAGAAGCTGGGGAGGTTTGTGTTCAGGCCAAATTACACTCACCAGATTGTTATTTTACATCTTCTTACTGATTTTGTGAGAAATACTATTTATGTTATTTTCTTTCTTGAATGAAGGATTTTTGATACGTGGTGCTTGCATATCCCTGTAGCAGACCGAACACCATTTCCAGGTACTTTTTCCCCTCTACCTAGTTACACATTTATATAATCTTTCAATCATGTATTTTCCCCTGTTGCAGACCTTGTCAAAATAGTTGAGGTAACAGTTAGGTCGGAATATCAACGTTCACGAAACAGGCCCATATATCTTGTTGGAGAATCTTTAGGATCATGCCTTGCACTGGCTGTTGCAGCACTTAATCCTGATATTGATTTTGTATTAATTCTGGCAAACCCAGGTAACTTGTTAAAGCTCTGAATGACATGTAGTATACAGCATTCGAGTTGATTCTCTGTAACTGCATATAAAAGATGGACAAAATCTGATGTCACCTTCCCCATCCAATTTTGCAGCTACTTCGTTCAGCAGGTCAGACTTGCAACTTCTAACACCATTATTGGAAGCTTTGCCTGATTCACTCTCTCCTGGTTTGCGTGACATTCTCAGATTGACACAAGGTTTGTGTATCTTGCTCTGAAGTGAAGGCTAAGCTTTTTTCCTTTTTCTAAGAACTTGTTTCTAATTAATAAAGATCCATACCATATATCTTTAGGTTTAAATTTCACCTTAAGAGCTCTTTGCTATCTTGAATTAATTTTCATGATAATTCGAGCCAAAAGAAACTGTTTGTGTTTTGTTCATCTTATTATTTTATTCAAAATGTTTAACCTATTTTTTTGCAGCTGAACTTTTGAAAAATAAGCTATTATTCCCTCTTATGAAAACTCTCGTAAACTGCACTGTCTAAGAGATTAGATACTTTAAATAAACACCTTTGCTGGATATCTATGATTCCTTTTGTCTAAGAGATTAGATACTCTCGTAAACTGCACTGTGTCTCCCATTTTTTGTTGTTTTTGCTTATTTATAACTGAATATTTATGAAGCACTTATTTTCTTAGTTAATTAGAATATCAGATCACCAGCCACTTTAACTTCAATGTTATAGGGGCTTATGCTAAATTTTCTGGTTCATGATCCTTCAACACTGAATAATTTTCATCATACATATACGAAGGAGCTATATATTTTCTCTCATTTACCTAGAAAATGATGCTTTTTCTCTATTAATGCCTTCAACATTTCTCGTAACATTAGGTGAATCATTGAGGATGGCGTTGGATAGTGTGGTCCAAGGGCTTCCCCTACAAACTACTGCTGGAGAGCTAGTGAAGGATTTTACAACTATCTTATTATCTCTCCCGGTAAGCTTCAATTAGCACTTAGTTAAAAAAATGGAGACATTTATATTGGAACAGTAATGTGTGACCTTTTCTTCATGATTTTTAATATCTGAAGCATTTTGTATGAATAGTAATGATAATGCAAGGGGCATTTTCCAGAAGAATAAATTGAAAATTGGATACCGTATTTTCTCTTCTTTCTTGTAACCAAAACTTCATAAAAGTGAAAATATGCTGAAATTTTAAGTAAATTGATTGACTTGAATTAAGTTTGTTTACTTTGGATTTTTTATTTTTAGTTTGAGCTTTATCCCTAATTTAGTTTCAATATTGAAAATGTAATCTTTATTCAACTCTCAGATTCTTGCCGAGATATTACCAAAAGAAACACTTCTCTGGAAACTAAAAATGCTTAAGTCGGCTTCTGCTTATGCCAATTCACGCCTTTATTCAATCCAAGCTCAGACTTTGATACTTTGCAGGTTCGTTCTCTTTGACATTGTTCAATTATATCTGTTAAAATACTGAATCATAACTTCTTTGTTAAATTTTCGCTTTCTGTTGGAAGTGAAGTATCTTACCTTTGGACACTAATGGTAAATTATTGTTGAATCTCTCATAAAACTTTTTTCAAAAGATCCACTCAGAGGTATGATAACCGATAATTCGTCTTTATGACTAAACAAGTACAATATGATTCTTATATCGAATTGGACACGGACACTTCACGACGTATAGTCTCCAAAATGTATGACATGTGGACACAGATTTATATATCAGATCACTATGTATTTAGATTTTTAAAATCATCTATAAACAAGATTAGTCAAATTTAATAATTTAAACACATTGTCGGACACAAAAATGAATCTAATCTATATATTTAATATCCAAAAAGCGAAAAGTAGTCATCATATAAAATTTGCGCCTTATAATCAAATAGAAACATGTGTAATAAGTTTACAAGTCTATGCGTTTTTGGAAAATCATTTCATTTGTGATATTAACATTGTGTCAGAGTCATGTCAAAATAATGCGAGGAACAAAAGAATGTCTTTCAAATTGAATACTTCATCAATATGTGTGTCATACAAATATCAATATGTGTGTCATACAAGTATCATATGTGTATTGGTGTTTAATACATGTCGAACACAGGACACACTATTTATGAGGCATGTCTGAACTTCATAACAACCGTGTCCCATTATGATGAAGTACATTAAAAATAAGAGGTATTCATAGTTTGAAATGCCTATACTTAAAGTTTGTATCAATATGAAAGGAATCACGTATAAGGAAGAGATTATTGAAAATCTAAGTCTAAATTTAACGTTTAGTACAAAAAAGAAGACCGATAAATTGATTGTTTTAAGATTTTAGATTAGAGTAATCTCAATTCCTTATATATATTTGGATTCATGTCTAATCAGTGGTGTGCCTTCGTGTTTAACTTCTCTCTCAAAAGATCCAAACAAAAATAAAAGGTTAATTTGTAGAAGTATTTGAAATTTACCGGAAACAAAATTATATAACGATGAAACTAGTGGAATTTCCCATTCTTGACTACAATCCCTTTTAATTTTTACATTAGGTGGATTGTAAGTAAATCCCATTGCATACTTTTCAATTGTATGAAGTGAAACTTACTTTATGATTTTCCCTTAGTGGAAACGATCAGCTACTACCTAGTCAGCACGAAGGTGAAAGACTACTCAAGTTACTGCCTAAATCTAAATGCGAGCTTCGTAAATTTGATGGCTGTGGCCATTTCCTATTCTTGGTATGTGATTCTCCATTTCAACTTATTTGAATGGATGTCTGTGATTGTGTTTGAATTCAAGCATGCATCATCATGGTCCATTTCTTCTGGTTGGAGAAAAAGATAAGAAAAAACCCTAATATGGCGCCTCTATCTAGCAGGAAGGAAGCATTGACCTGGCAACTGTAATAAAGGGAACTTCATACTACCGCCGTGGCAAACATCACGATTATTTATCTGATTTTATTCTCCCAACGCCTGATGAGGTGAGAAAAGTAATAGAATCATTCAGGTAAATACAATCGGGTTAATTTGATCATATATATTGATTAGCCGATACTAGTTACACCATTGACACCTTTCACTTGTAATGCTCAAAGTTTGTATAACCTTGTGGCAACTGTGATGCTCTCAACATTGGAGGATGGGACGGTTGTAAAAGGCCTTGCTGGAATTCCTTCAGAGGGACCTGTTTTGTTCGTTGGCGACCACATGCTGCTGGGATCAGACGCAATTCCCCTGTGGTGCAGACTTTTTTCTGAAAGAAATATCATTGTTAGAGCGATGGCACATCCCTTGTTTTTTGTCAGATCTAAGACAGGAAAATTGCTAGACATATCTTATTTTGACAATCTCAGAATCATGGGTGCTGTCCCTGTAGGACCTACTAACCTCTTCAAGCTTTTCTCTTCCAAGTCTCATGTCCTGTTATATCCTGGAGGAATACGCGAGGCTCTTCATAGGAAGGTAAATCCAAATAAGTATTGCGTACTATCATTTATCAACTTCATATACTAAACATATATTGCATAATGTATACATATTATTTATTCTTTAGGCTCACTTTATCTGTCTCTAAATTAATGCTCTGAAATGTATTGCATTTTTTGAGATAGTGTCTTTATATTTTTTGGACTTACAATCTTCGGCTTTGTAATAATATCAGGATGAAGAGTACAAATTGTTCTGGCCTGAACAATCCGAGTTTGTAAGGATGGCAGCAAGATTTGGAGCCAAAATTGTTCCTTTTGGTGTAGTTGGAGAAGATGACGTTGGTCAAGTAAGTTTTGATCTTTTTCTGAATTCATTGCTCTCTCTTACTCTCTCCTATTTATTTGCATGTGTTGGAGGGCTGAGTAAAAAAAATAAATTGTGAAAAGGCATTGTATTTTGTGGCAAGAGAAATAGTTAGATAATAATAGTTGCTTTCTCACAACTTTGGCTTGCAATTTAGGTTAATGTTTTGTCGTAAAAGGATTAATTGGGTTACGATTCTTCATTTAATCTCTGAGAATAAAATAGTGTACATGAATAAAAGCCAAATTAAGTGTATGTTACGCATTAAGGACTTTAAACTAAAAATTCATCATATTTGTATAGAATAAATCACGAATGTATTATATGAATAAAGACCAAATTAAAACTGCTTAAAAGGTTAACATAGGATTGTTAGTATAATGATGTCATGGTAATAAAGGCTAAATTAAAAATGCTTAAAGTTAATCGTCAACATACGATTACTACAGACAATGTTATGAGAACATTGAAAAAATGTAGTGTTTGTATGCGTAAAAATGGATTTAATAATAAGTTTTACATAAAGAAACTAAAACACGTATAAAGATTAAATTATGAGTTTAAGCAAACACTATTGAATTGTTCTAATATTTATAAATTATGTGTTTTTCATATTTTCTGTAGATGTTATAGATATGACTCTCAATCCCTTTTATTTTCTTAATATATAAAAACGTCCATATTTGAAATGAATTCTCCCATTATATGTAGATGCTCGATTTGGATTTCCATAACGGATTATAACACATTGGTCTTTTCAGGTAGTTTTTGATTATGATGACTTGGTGAAGATTCCTTACTTTAGGTCTGAAATAGAAAGCCTCACAGAAGAGGTTCCACAATTGAGGTATCTTGTATTTTTTTTCTCATTCCAAATTATGAAATACGCAACATTTTTATTGTTTTTTTCATCAGTAATAAAAAATATATAAAATAAAGAAACATTTAGGTGGTCCAATCTTTTTTACACATAAAGAAAGGAAAGGTTAAAATTGCGGAAAACTAGAATAGAAGATAACATCCATAACCTGCCATAAAGAGGATGTAAAGAACTATAAACAGTTTACGTGACTATTCTTATATTTATGAATGTACATGATTATATTGGAAATGTAGGAGTGGTTTTCGTGGTGAGGTGGGAAATCAACAAGTGCATTTGCCTTTGATTTTGCCTAAAGTTCCAGGCCGATTCTACTATTATTTTGGAAAACCATTGGAAACGAAAGGTATGCCCAATTTGGAATGCACATAAAATGTGGTGTTAGATAATATATTTCCTTTAATGGGATATTGTTTTACAGGAAGGGAACAAGAACTCCAAAAGAAGGAGAATTCTCAAGAGTTTTATTTACAAGTGAAGTCTGAGGTTGAGAGATGCATTGCTTACTTAAAGGAAAAAAGGGACATGGACCCCTACAGAGGCCTAGGGCATCGACTATTATACCAGGCCACTAATGGTTTTCAATCTGAAATTCCAACATTTGAAATTTGATTCTTTTACAGGCAATAGAAGCTAAGTTGTTATTCGTTATTTGTAAACAGAATTAGGAATATAAAGTGTTTATTAATTTTTTAAAGGATTAATCTTTATTCAATATTTTTAATATGTTCTCTCAGTTACAAATAATTTTGTCTTTATGGCACTCTCGGCTAGGCCATGCTGCATATCACATTGTTCATAAAGTCTTAAAGAATAATCATATAAATATTAGTGGAAACAATGTTATTTCCAATGTTTTGTGTGATATATATGTGTTCAAGATAAAATGCATCGACTGCCTTTTTATAAATCTGATTCATCTTACCATAACCCTTCAACGCTTGTTTACATTGACATACGGAGTCCTGCTCCAATGCGTAGTACAAGTAAGGCAAAATATTACATAACATTCTTAGATGCACATTCAAGGTTTATATGGCTACTAAAAATCTCAGGTTTCAACTGTTTCATTCTCTTTAAAGCCTTTGTTGAAAATCAAACCAATAACAAGTTAAAGGCTACCCAAACTGACAATGCAAAGGAATTTCTATTTTGCTAAATATCATCGACTCACTTGTACAAAAACTCACCAACAACATGGTTCAATCGAAAGGAAACATAGACATGTGGTTGACATGGGTTTATCTCTCATTGTTAGTGCTTCATTACCAAGAAGTTTAGGGTGAAGCTTTTCTTAGTGTTTTTCACATCATTAACATGCTTCCTACACCGGTTTTAAATAATCACTCACCTTTTGAAAAGCTTTTCAATAAAACATTTGATTACGATTCTCTTAAAGCTTTTGGGTTGTGCATGTTACCCTCTCTAATTAGGCCCTATAACAAGAAAAAGTTTAATTTTTGCTCTACCATGTTTGTCTTTCTCCTTGTAGCAAAGTATACGTTTCAAGAAATGTGCATTTTAATGAACAGTGTTTCCCTACACTATCTAATAATCCTTATACTGCAAAAGACATCGTCTCCGTTCCTACAGTTCACACCAACATACCTATTTATGTTATTAAACCAACTTTATATGTCACAGCTACATTAACTCTACCACCGCCTACTTCTGAACACACGCCACCTTCTTTATCTCCCTTGAATCAGCCTTTGCATGAGGATAACTCAAGCATCACCGCCCCACAATGACAGTACTACAACTGACACCACTCATCACACTACCCATGCAACTCATGAAGTGGTGCTACCTTAGAACACACATCCAATGCTTACACAGTCAAAAGCAGCTGTATTTCCAAACCAAAAATTTTAAATGTTAATACTTCGCTTCAACCCACCTCTATTAAACAACCATTATCTAATCCTTATTAGTTCTATGCCATGCAATCTGAATACAATACTCTAAACAACACATGGACACTCACAGACCTTCCTAATGGCTCCCCTCATCGGCTGCAAGTGGATTTTCAGGAATAAATACAATGCAGATGGCACATTTCAGAGATATGAGGTTCACTTAGTAGAAAAAGGATCTCATCAAGTCCATGGTCTTGACTACAAAGAAACTTTTAGTCGTTTGGTCAAACAAACTATTAAATCAGTTATATTTACTATTACTCTTTCTCTTAATTGATTTATTAGACAAATTGATGTAAATAATGTCTCCATGAAAAACTTGAAGAAACTGTGTTCATGAAACAACCTCCAGGTTTTCTTTCTTTCAATCCCAATCATGTGTACAAACTACTTAAAGCTATATATGGATTCAAGCAATCACCATGAGTTTGGTTTCAAAAATTGAGTAATACTCTAACATAAATGGGCTTCTAATCTATAGAGAGTGATCCCTCTCTATTTACTCTTTTCATAAATCCCCCACTATTTTTATCTTAATCTATGTTGATGGTATAATTATTACTAGTTTCTCACCAACTGCCATTAACACTTTAATCACCTATCTTGGAAGGTTACATTACTTTCTTAGTATTGAAGCTACATGGATTTCACATACCCATCTTCACATTTCTCAAGCATAGTATATATGTGAACTTATACACCGTGCCGACATGCATGAGCCTAAATCTCTCTCAACTCCAATGGTGTCTTCTCTACAACTTACCCAAGATGGTTCAACATCTTTTGAAGACCTACTTTATATAGATCAATCGTTGGTGCCCTCCAATATGTCACTATTACAAGACTTAAAATGTCCTTCTGATAGGTTTCTTTGTGATAAGAAACCCAAAACAAAGCTCAGGTAAGAATCCCTGACCAACACCCTACTCTCTAACGTAGTACAAAAGAAAGAACCGAAATGTTTTATTAAATTGGCAAGAGAATGTTCGAACACTTCCAAGGGATAAACCTCCCTTCACAGAATGTAATGTTCCTGTCTTACAAAGATTACAACGAAAACTCCCTTGTATGACTCTTCTCCCCTCCTATATACTCAACTTCCTACCAAACAACCCACTATCTAAGCAACTAACAGCTACGTTCTGTTTCCATAACTACTGTTCTGGTTTTCTGTTTCTCCTAACACAGACTCTTAGGATCCTATCATTACTCACTGGCCTTTAACAACCTTGTCTTCAANTGGACACTAATGGTAAATTATTGTTGAATCTCTCATAAAACTTTTTTCAAAAGATCCACTCAGAGGTATGATAACCGATAATTCGTCTTTATGACTAAACAAGTACAATATGATTCTTATATCGAATTGGACACGGACACTTCACGACGTATAGTCTCCAAAATGTATGACATGTGGACACAGATTTATATATCAGATCACTATGTATTTAGATTTTTAAAATCATCTATAAACAAGATTAGTCAAATTTAATAATTTAAACACATTGTCGGACACAAAAATGAATCTAATCTATATATTTAATATCCAAAAAGCGAAAAGTAGTCATCATATAAAATTTGCGCCTTATAATCAAATAGAAACATGTGTAATAAGTTTACAAGTCTATGCGTTTTTGGAAAATCATTTCATTTGTGATATTAACATTGTGTCAGAGTCATGTCAAAATAATGCGAGGAACAAAAGAATGTCTTTCAAATTGAATACTTCATCAATATGTGTGTCATACAAGTATCAATATGTGTGTCATACAAGTATCATATGTGTATTGGTGTTTAATACATGTCGAACACAGGACACACTATTTATGAGGCATGTCTGAACTTCATAGCAACCGTGTCCCATTATGATGAAGTACATTAAAAATAAGAGGTATTCATAGTTTGAAATGCCTATACTTAAAGTTTGTATCAATATGAAAGGAATCACGTATAAGGAAGAGATTATTGAAAATCTAAGTCTAAATTTAACGTTTAGTACAAAAAAGAAGACCGATAAATTGATTGTTTTAAGATTTTAGATTAGAGTAATCTCAATTCCTTATATATATTTGGATTCATGTCTAATCAGTGGTGTGCCTTCGTGTTTAACTTCTCTCTCAAAAGATCCAAACAAAAATAAAAGGTTAATTTGTAGAAGTATTTGAAATTTACCGGAAACAAAATTATATAACGATGAAACTAGTGGAATTTCCCATTCTTGACTACAATCCCTTTTAATTTTTACATTAGGTGGATTGTAAGTAAATCCCATTGCATACTTTTCAATTGTATGAAGTGAAACTTACTTTATGATTTTCCCTTAGTGGAAACGATCAGCTACTACCTAGTCAGCACGAAGGTGAAAGACTACTCAAGTTACTGCCTAAATCTAAATGCGAGCTTCGTAAATTTGATGGCTGTGGCCATTTCCTATTCTTGGTATGTGATTCTCCATTTCAACTTATTTGAATGGATGTCTGTGATTGTGTTTGAATTCAAGCATGCATCATCATGGTCCATTTCTTCTGGTTGGAGAAAAAGATAAGAAAAAACCCTAATATGGCGCCTCTATCTAGCAGGAAGGAAGCATTGACCTGGCAACTGTAATAAAGGGAACTTCATACTACCGCCGTGGCAAACATCACGATTATTTATCTGATTTTATTCTCCCAACGCCTGATGAGGTGAGAAAAGTAATAGAATCATTCAGGTAAATACAATCGGGTTAATTTGATCATATATATTGATTAGCCGATACTAGTTACACCATTGACACCTTTCACTTGTAATGCTCAAAGTTTGTATAACCTTGTGGCAACTGTGATGCTCTCAACATTGGAGGATGGGACGGTTGTAAAAGGCCTTGCTGGAATTCCTTCAGAGGGACCTGTTTTGTTCGTTGGCGACCACATGCTGCTGGGATCAGACGCAATTCCCCTGTGGTGCAGACTTTTTTCTGAAAGAAATATCATTGTTAGAGCGATGGCACATCCCTTGTTTTTTGTCAGATCTAAGACAGGAAAATTGCTAGACATATCTTATTTTGACAATCTCAGAATCATGGGTGCTGTCCCTGTAGGACCTACTAACCTCTTCAAGCTTTTCTCTTCCAAGTCTCATGTCCTGTTATATCCTGGAGGAATACGCGAGGCTCTTCATAGGAAGGTAAATCCAAATCAGTATTGCGTACTATCATTTATCAACTTCATATACTAAACATATATTGCATATTGTATACATATTATTTATTCTTTAGGCTCACTTTATCTGTCTCTAAATTAATGCTCTGAAATGTATTGCATTTTTTGAGATAGTGTCTTTATATTTTTTGGACTTACAATCTTCGGCTTTGTAATAATATCAGGATGAAGAGTACAAATTGTTCTGGCCTGAACAATCCGAGTTTGTAAGGATGGCAGCAAGATTTGGAGCCAAAATTGTTCCTTTTGGTGTAGTTGGAGAAGATGACGTTGGTCAAGTAAGTTTTGATCTTTTTCTGAATTCATTGCTCTCTCTTACTCTCTCCTATTTATTTGCATGTGTTGGAGGGCTGAGTAAAAAAAATAAATTGTGAAAAGGCATTGTATTTTGTGGCAAGAGAAATAGTTAGATAATAATAGTTGCTTTCTCACAACTTTGGCTTGCAATTTAGGTTAATGTTTTGTCGTAAAAGGATTAATTGGGTTACGATTCTTCATTTAATCTCTGAGAATAAAATAGTGTACATGAATAAAAGCCAAATTAAGTGTATGTTACGCATTAAGGACTTTAAACTAAAAATTCATCATATTTGTATAGAATAAATCACGAATGTATTATATGAATAAAGACCAAATTAAAACTGCTTAAAAGGTTAACATAGGATTGTTAGTATAATGATGTCATGGTAATAAAGGCTAAATTAAAAATGCTTAAAGTTAATCGTCAACATACGATTACTACAGACAATGTTATGAGAACATTGAAAAAATGTAGTGTTTGTATGCGTAAAAATGGATTTAATAATAAGTTTTACATAAAGAAACTAAAACACGTATAAAGATTAAATTATGAGTTTAAGCAAACACTATTGAATTGTTCTAATATTTATAAATTATGTGTTTTTCATATTTTCTGTAGATGTTATAGATATGACTCTCAATCCCTTTTATTTTCTTAATATATTAAAACGTCCATATTTGAAATGAATTCTCCCATTATATGTAGATGCTCGATTTGGATTTCCATAACGGATTATAACACATTGGTCTTTTCAGGTAGTTTTTGATTATGATGACTTGGTGAAGATTCCTTACTTTAGGTCTGAAATAGAAAGCCTCACAGAAGAGGTTCCACAATTGAGGTATCTTGTATTTTTTTTCTCATTCCAAATTATGAAATACGCAACATTTTTATTGTTTTTTTCATCAGTAATAAAAAATATATAAAATAAAGAAACATTTAGGTGGTCCAATCTTTTTTACACATAAAGAAAGGAAAGGTTAAAATTGCGGAAAACTAGAATAGAAGATAACATCCATAACCTGCCATAAAGAGGATGTAAAGAACTATAAACAGTTTACGTGACTATTCTTATATTTATGAATGTACATGATTATATTGGAAATGTAGGAGTGGTTTTCGTGGTGAGGTGGGAAATCAACAAGTGCATTTGCCTTTGATTTTGCCTAAAGTTCCAGGCCGATTCTACTATTATTTTGGAAAACCATTGGAAACGAAAGGTATGCCCAATTTGGAATGCACATAAAATGTGGTGTTAGATAATATTTTTCCTTTAATGGGATATTGTTTTACAGGAAGGGAACAAGAACTCCAAAAGAAGGAGAATTCTCAAGAGTTTTATTTACAAGTGAAGTCTGAGGTTGAGAGATGCATTGCTTACTTAAAGGAAAAAAGGGACATGGACCCCTACAGAGGCCTAGGGCATCGACTATTATACCAGGCCACTAATGGTTTTCAATCTGAAATTCCAACATTTGAAATTTGATTCTTTTACAGGCAATAGAAGCTAAGTTGTTATTCGTTATTTGTAAACAGAATTAGGAATATAAAGTGTTTATTAATTTTTTAAAGGATTAATCTTTATTCAATATTTTTAATATGTTCTCTCAGTTACAAATAATTTTGTCTTTATGGCACTCTCGGCTCGGCCATGCTGCATATCACATTGTTCATAAAGTCTTAAAGAATAATCATATAAATATTAGTGGAAACAATGTTATTTCCAATGTTTTGTGTGATATATATGTGTTCAAGATAAAATGCATCGACTGCCTTTTTATAAATCTGATTCATCTTACCATAACCCTTCAACGCTTGTTTACATTGACATACGGAGTCCTGCTCCAATGCGTAGTACAAGTAAGGCAAAATATTACATAACATTCTTAGATGCACATTCAAGGTTTATATGGCTACTAAAAATCTCAGGTTTCAACTGTTTCATTCTCTTTAAAGCCTTTGTTGAAAATCAAACCAATAACAAGTTAAAGGCTACCCAAACTGACAATGCAAAGGAATTTCTATTTTGCTAAATATCATCGACTCACTTGTACAAAAACTCACCAACAACATGGTTCAATCGAAAGGAAACATAGACATGTGGTTGACATGGGTTTATCTCTCATTGTTAGTGCTTCATTACCAAGAAGTTTAGGGTGAAGCTTTTCTTAGTGTTTTTCACATCATTAACATGCTTCCTACACCGGTTTTAAATAATCACTCACCTTTTGAAAAGCTTTTCAATAAAACATTTGATTACGATTCTCTTAAAGCTTTTGGGTTGTGCATGTTACCCTCTCTAATTAGGCCCTATAACAAGAAAAAGTTTATTTTTTGCTCTACCATGTTTGTCTTTCTCCTTGTAGCAAAGTATACGTTTCAAGAAATGTGCTTTTTAATGAACAGTGTTTCCCTACACTATCTAATAATCCTTATACTGCAAAAGACATCGTCTCCGTTCCTACAGTTCACACCAACATACCTATTTATGTTATTAAACCAACTTTATATGTCACAGCTACATTAACTCTACCACCGCCTACTTCTGAACACACGCCACCTTCTTTATCTCCCTTGAATCAGCCTTTGCATGAGGATAACTCAAGCATCACCGCCCCACAATGACAGTACTACAACTGACACCACTCATCACACTACCCATGCAACTCATGAAGTGGTGCTACCTTAGAACACACATCCAATGCTTACACAGTCAAAAGCAGCTGTATTTCCAAACCAAAAATTTTAAATGTTAATACTTCGCTTCAACCCACCTCTATTAAACAACCATTATCTAATCCTTATTAGTTCTATGCCATGCAATCTGAATACAATACTCTAAACAACACATGGACACTCACAGACCTTCCTAATGGCTCCCCTCATCGGCTGCAAGTGGATTTTCAGGAATAAATACAATGCAGATGGCACATTTCAGAGATATGAGGTTCACTTAGTAGAAAAAGGATCTCATCAAGTCCATGGTCTTGACTACAAAGAAACTTTTAGTCGTTTGGTCAAACACACTATTATATCGGTTATATTTACTATTACTCTTTCTCTTAATTGATTTATTAGACAAATTGATGTGAATAATGTCTCCATGAAAAACTTGAAGAAACTGTGTTCATGAAACAACCTCCAGGTTTTCTTTCTTTCAATCCCAATCATGTGTGCAAACTACTTAAAGCTATATATGGATTCAAGCAATCACCATGAGTTTGGTTTCAAAAATTGAGTAATACTCTAACATAAATGGGCTTCTAATCTATAGAGAGTGATCCCTCTCTATTTACTCTTTTCATAAATCCCCCACTATTTTTATCTTAATCTATGTTGATGGTATAGTTATTACTAGTTTCTCACCAACTGCCATTAACACTTTAATCACCTATCTTGGAAGGTTACATTACTTTCTTAGTATTGAAGCTACATGGATTTCACATACCCATCTTCACATTTCTCAAGCATAGTATATATGTGAACTTATACACCGTGCCGACATGCATGAGCCTAAATCTCTCTCAACTCCAATGGTGTCTTCTCTACAACTTACCAAAGATGGTTCAACATCTTTTGAAGACCTACTTTATATAGATCAATCGTTGGTGCCCTCCAATATGTCACTATTACAAGACTTAAAATGTCCTTCTGATAGGTTTCTTTGTGATAAGAAACCCAAAACAAAGCTCAGGTAAGAATCCCTGACCAACACCCTACTCTCTAACGTAGTACAAAAGAAAGAACCGAAATGTTTTATTAAATTGGCAAGAGAATGTTCGAACACTTCCAAGGGATAAACCTCCCTTCACAGAATGTAATGTTCCTGTCTTACAAAGATTACAACGAAAACTCCCTTATATGACACTTCTCCCATCCTATATACTCAACTTCCTACCAAACAACCCACTATCTAAGCAACTAACAGCTACGTTCTGTTTCCATAACTACTGTTCTGGTTTTCTGTTTCTCCTAACACAGACTCTTAGGATCCTATCATTACTCACTGGCCTTTAACAACCTTGTCTTCAAGGTAAAAGTCGGGAAATAGTTCCATCATAGTAACCTTATCCTCCCACATATAGCTCCATCACAGTAACCTTATCCTCCCACATATAGCTGTTTCAGGGCCTCGTTCCTTCTACTCGACTAGCGTGGCACTGAATATCCTTGTAACTATATTGTTCATCTGCCCAGCATTTTGTGGCGCGAATAAACCTGCTCTCCTCCTTATAGATCCTCTGGTAGTCCCTTTTCCACTTTTTGTGTGTCCATTGCCGGTTTTAGTTGGGATACATGGAAGACTGGGTGAGTCCAAGCTGTCTTTGGTAGCTGATATGCTGTCGTTGAAGCTATCAAATTAATACTACTTTACAAGACAACTTCAGTATTGTCAAGTTAGTAGTTAAGAAAGTAGACGGAGTTAAAGTAATCATGAATCGTTTTCCAACGAATATGGAATTGTTTTTCAATACTTGACTCTTATGAAGACTCTAAAAAGATTAATAAATGTTATGCAATGCTTAAAAATAGGAATGAAAATATATCCTAATGAATTTGATGTTTGAAGAATGTCGTAAGTTTAAGTGAAGAACAAATGAAAAACTTAGAAACAATTATAATAAAATAGGCTAATTCTACAACTTTTCCAAAACAGATCATTTGTTATCCATATATCATTGAATTGATTATTTTTTTAGTTTCAAATTCTTAATTAACTTAAGGGCGATCATACAATTAACCAAAGTATATTTTTAATCAAATGCAAGACCTTTATAGATTATTCATAATGAAACTAACAAAAGTATATTCTCAATTAAATCCTATTTTGTTCAATCATATATATATTCTTGAATCTTCTAACCAAATTAAAAGTTAATTAATCAAAGTAAATTCTCAATTAATTATGGTTGAAATTCTTACCACTAATTAAAGTACATTCTCAATTAGTAGAAAAAATACTTTTAATCATATGAAAGATCCTAAATTCAATAAAAATACATTTTCAATCAAACCTAGAAACCCTTGAACTCATATGATTAAATATGCATGTAGATTCAAACACCTTATGATGCAAAAATTATTACTTGTAACTTGATTGATAGATGAAAGACACAGAAAAAGGTATGTTTCCTCGTGATTTAGGGTTGATGTATGTGTGTTTTGAACATTTGAATTCTATTCAGGATGTGTTTTGATTTGACAATAATCGATTATCACTAGTATAATCGATTATTTGCGCATTTGTTTTGAGTTTTGTTCATAAATAATTGATTATCTGGGATGATAATTGACTATCCTATGAATCTAAAAATTTGATGTGCTAGAGCCACTGAAATAATCAATTATCTTAAGTGATAATTGATTATCATAGTGTATTTTGTGTAATTGTGAACTTATAGGGAATAATCGATTATCTTATGATAATCATTATCCCAATGCATTTTTGTTAAAAATGACGAATTTGATGAAGAATGGACGTGGAACAAACTTGAGGAGCTGTAGGACGTGGTGATAATAAGAGAGTGAGATTTGTGGTTATGTTCAGGGTCTGACTTGACTTGTGTTTGAGATTGGAGCATAAATGGGTGTTGGGATGTACCTAAGTGTGTGGTTGATGAGCATAAGAGTGGGAAAATAAGTTTACTTATTATACATAGTAAATCCTGAGATTATATGTGGACAGGTGCTCCCTTTGGCATTGGTTGTTGAAAAAGGAGGGATATTCTCTTTGGCAAATAGTTGTGGAAAAGAGAATGATGTTCGAGTATTGAACCTTCCTTGTGTGAGGGAAATGATGTTTTTCTTGTCCTTGTGTGGCAAAAATATATGTTCCTTAGCTAGATTGCGGGACTACTCGAACAGATGATCTATAGGAGAGGCTACAAATGATCTATAGGGGAGGCTAAAGATGGCTTGTAGGGGAAGCTAAACGAGACTGATTCTTGCATTATGTTGTTTATGGTATTGTGGGTGCTCAAGATGGTGTTCATGATGGGGTTAATCATGATAGTGACACACGTGTTGGTGATCATAATGACAATGATGCTCCAAAGTATGCTAAGTTGATAATGATGGTATCATGTGGTGTAGCTAACATGGGTGTTGTTAAGTGGATAGACAACGTTTATGATGTTCATGATAACATCGGGGATCGATGATCGATGATTAAGTAATTTAGGATGGTTGAATTGTTTATGTTAGAAGATTAGGAATTATATTCTTATTACTTCTATGTATGGGATGCTTGATTATTGTTGATATAATCAGTATGTATGTATCTTGTTTTATGATTGTTTTATTACTTCATACGTGTTTGTGCTGTGTGTTTGTGAATTAAATTATCGGTGATGATTGTATAATGTGTTATACATGAGTAGATGATATTGCAGATGTTCGAGAGGCATGATAGATTCGTGAGATGATGGGAAAAATATTTAGGTTTTCTTTATAGTTCTTTTAATAGGACTTTTGAGACAATGTAAT